CGACCCAACTTTCAAATCCTCCCTCCCTCCCTCCCTCCTTCTCTCACTCTCTCTCTCTCTTACTCACTATCATAGTCGTCAAGATAGCTACTACGGTATTCCGCGACACGAATCCGCATACCCAAAAAGATTTTCTTTTTTTATTCCCCTAACACCATATGTGAAATCCATGTGTGAATTTTTTTTTTTTTTTTTTTTTTCTTATAGATTTTGTAATAAATTTTGAATAGACGTTTCTGTATTTTAGTTAAAGTATGTAAATATTATTATTTATAATGACGCAAACTCTGACACAATCTCCTGATGCGACCACTGACGCGAATCCTAACACAAACCCTGATGCAACCACGGAGTTTTACGATTTTACGATAAACTTTGATGATGACACGGTTTTTTATTTTATTTCCMCCCCGCCCCCCCCCCTCCGCCCCTATTCTTTGTCTTCTTTGTGTTTCTTTTTTATCTATCTTTTTTTTTTTTTTCAAGGTAAGATATTTTTTTTTATTAGTTTGTACAATACCCACTGGCAACGCGATAATAGGGAATTAAATTTATATTGGCATTTTATATGATAATAAATATAATAATAAATATAATATAAAATATAATTATAATAAGTTCATTCTATTATTATTATTATTTTTTTTTTTTTTAATTTAATTTTGCCAAATAAAAATTATCAACAATTAATATAATAAAAAAACAAATTAGAATATTTTGCAAAGTGTATTTAGAAAAATGTATTCACTCGATGCAAGTTTAATTCTACTTTCTTTTCTTTTGTTTGTTTTATATTTTTGTTCTTCTAAATTTTTATTCCGAAAGAATTAATAATAAAAAGTTACCGCATACTATTATTTATTTATTTATATATATATATATATATATATAGATATTTATTTTGATATATTTGTGCAGATATATATATATACGTGTCTATATAAATCGTAAAAAAAAAAAAAGTAACGTTGATCCTGACAAAATTGTTTGCAAATCGAAACGATCAGTGATTGGTTGTAACGTCTCGTCTAGGAATTGATATCATCTGTTGAGATAGAATTTGATCAAAATCCGTATGCATATTTCTATTCCAGTTTTTCTCAAGGATTCTTTCTCAGAAGTTCTTTTTCCTCAACCTTCTCACACTCCACGAATAAACGATCAATACAGAAATGATATAGGTAGATTTGATTTGCCAGTTTGTCAGCATGAAAAAGAAAAAAGAAAAAAGAAAGAATAAAGAAGAGACTAGATGAATAGTAGGTGAATTTCAAGATAAAAGGAAAAAGATATGCAAGGTATTTCTCAAGGACATGTGAAGTATGCACATTTATTTCCTTGCAATAGGAACCTATGTACATCCTGTGATCTCGTAAATCAAAAGGGAAGTAAGAAAGTTATTTTTTTTTCTTTTTGTATCAATCCTTGTCAATGATTTCATGTCTTTTACAGGTAAATCACAATTTGAAAGGTAATATTTTTTTTTAGTTTATAATAAAATAATATCAAAAAAAAAAAAAACATAATTATAAAGTTTATTCGTTTAAATAGAAATGTTTTGTAAATTCGTATGATTTGGTTATTTGAATTTCTAAAAAAAAAAAATAGAAACATTGTTATTAATAAATTATCTCATAAAAATGGTACATAAAAAATAATATATTAATAATATATATATTAATCCATGAAAAAATATTTTTATATATTAGATCGAGTCATAAGTAACTTCCAATGCGGTTATGTGGAATCTATTTTTCGTATTTACCTATTATAAGTCACCGAAACAAACGGATTTTTGATATCACTGTATAGATGAGGGATTCAGTTAGTCTTCTATCAACTTTTTGAAGTAAAAACTTCTTTAGAATGGGTGTGATTTGAAAAAATGTAACGGACCGGTAGGCGGCTATGTAACGGAGCGGTAGGCGGCTATGTAACGGAGCGGTGGGAAACAATGAAACGGCTGCGTTACTAAATAAGAAGAGAATACAATTATCTTACAGCAGATATTTTGTATTGGTCTCATTCTCTCGAAATTTAGTTTCTTGAAGATTTCACTTTTAACACGTGTGATCTGCACACATGTTTCTTTATGTAGTCAATGTTACATTTAACCGTTTTTCTTAACCACTGAAATGGATAGTAGTAAAAAGTGCATATTCGACATGTAATGCTTTAGTAATTGAAACAAGGCAATAGCACTAAGGTGACAACTGAAAAAATATACAGCGTATACAGTGCAGGACTGATAACTGATAGGGCAGTCAGAAATTGCTTTGTAAAATTCCGTTCTGAAGGTACGATCTTAAAAGATGAACCGAGTGCAGGGACGTATTTCCAACTTTGATGAACCTTTTCAAAGTAATATTGGAACAAAATCCAATAGATACGTTGAACAATTGCAAAGAGTGCAAAAAAAAAAAAACAACTCCATGAAAGGTGTCTCGCACTTATCAGTCGCAGAAATACCATTGTTTGTCTCATTAAAAAACGGAAGTTATTTGTGACTCGACCTAATATTTTTTTAATAATATTCTAAATATAAAAGTAACAATTAAAGTATTAAACTTGTAATGACTGTAATACCATAACAGAATAATTAAAAATAATTTCAACGGAAAGAAAAAAAAGAAACAAATACCCAGAAATAATATTAACTTCAATAAATTGTCTCACTCTCTCTCTCTCTCTCTCTCTCTCTCTCTATCTCTATCTCTCTA